TGACATATATTCAATAGCTTTTCACCTATTTTTCATGTTTTTTTACCCTTATATCTGGTGCTATTTTCTTGATAAATTTTAACTATGGAATATAATGTCTAGCATTTAAGACAATCTAATATTGTATTTCTTAATATTCTGAGAACAAGAACCCAATCCGGATGAAAATTAGAAAATCAGACCAAAAAAAAAACAGCATAATAGGATTAATCAAATAGCAAATGACTTCATCATCTTGGCCAAGCATTGAAACTTCATAATTATGACTTTTCATGTACCTCTTTAAAAGAGGTGTGACTCCTCATTAAAATGACCCATAAACACTACTATACGAAGGTTGTATTTGTAATCCTTATTTTCAAGAGACACTTAAATCGTTAATTATAACTTAAATATATAATGTATCATTATTAATAAATATTTGTAAATATACACATAAATATGACGTGATCAAGTTACAAGATATTTGTAACAAATGTTTGATGGGATTTAATGTCGACCTATTAAAAAAAATGTAACAAACTTTCCAAAGAGGAAAATTTATAGGAGATAAAAAATTAACTTAATTAATAAATTCAATGATGTGCTACTAACATAGTCCAAAAATGTTATTGTAAGACTGTAACTCTTAAATTTTTTTATTGCGACACAATTGTATGTCAACAAATTAAGTTAATTTTTTCTTGCTCTAAGAACTAAATAGCCTCGAGTAATAACACTTAAATACAGGGGGCTTACCGAAAACAAAAGATAAGAGAAGAGTATAAAGACGATATGATCAAATGATAGTACACCACTCCTATTTTATCCCTTGCAACTAGTGGATAACCTTTTTAACCCACTATCCAAACACCACTCAAGTGATTGTCAATTGTCATGTCAAACGTCGTCTCCAAGTGGTTGTCAATTGTGAAGCCACAACCATTTCTTGCACTTTTTAGTGAACGAGAACTTTGTTTTTCTCCTATGTGAATTTCATAACCTGATGTCTATTGTAATTTGATTCTTGAAATGATGAACACAGACGAAGAAGCTATCAAATCTCTTCCAGATTCTGCCACCGATTCTTTTCTGAATTGTATCGATCTCTGTAGTCCTGATATTCAACACTCTGTTTCTCTACTCAAACAGGTAGTCTCTCTCTCTCTCCCTCTCTCTCTCTCTCTTATATATATATATATATATATATATATATATATATATATATACATATATATATATATATATATATATTAGCGAATCATGTATACGTACGAAAATATTTGCTCTTACCAGGCCATGGATTATAAGCGTGATTCAATTTGGTTATTTCTTGGTGAATTCATTAAACCTGTCAAATAAGTAGTCGCGATCAGTTAAGTAAATGTTGATTTAATATTTGTTTTTGATTCTATAATTTCACGGAGGATTTTTATAAAGCACTAAGCGATATTTAGTCTTTTTGCTCCATTTGCAATTCTTGTCCGTTGCATTTTGTATGTCAGATAACATAGCTGAGGAAATCAGGAACATATACATAAAATGATTGGATGGAACTGAAGATCAACTAGCCTGAATGATGCCGAAGGATGTATAATTAATCTAGATTTCAATACCTTTTTTTTCCCTCTGGAACCATTCTTTTTTATGCCAATATGTAACAATTTGTCTATTTTGTCATTTATTTCCAATATTTTGGTCCAATTTTACAGAAGCACCTTGTGCACAAGCACAAAAGCTCTGGCCCAAAGCTCATTCCATAAAAAAATCAACTCAATAATTGAATTGAATCTACACAACCTGCCCTACCTTGGCTGTAAGCAACATGTGAATTGTCACCTGGGAGGGATAATTATTCATACCTCATTTGTGTCCTTTGTCCTCCTAGACGCTAATTTATGTGCTTTGTCTCCTCCCCATATATTGGTTACATCTCATCTAAAGTGATATTATTTTCTGGGCTTAAGTATATTAGTTCATCACTTGTGCATTAGGCTTGCTTGGATTCTGGTTTCTTCTATGTTATCAATCATGGAATCAGTGAGGAATTCATGGATGAGGTTTTTTCCCAAAGCAAAAGGTTCTTTGATCTACCCATAAAGGAAAAAATGAAGCTTCTAAGGAACAAGAAGCATCGAGGATATACCCCTGTTCTAGATGAACGTTTGGATCCCATCAATCAAGTACAAGGTTAGTCCGCTGCCGTTCTTTTTTGTATAATTGAATGAAGCAACAATATAGCAATATGAATAACGTAATGTAACAATCTATGCAATGTTGTATTTGATACAAGTTTTAGTGAAGACCTTTGAATATTTTCTTAAATAAGAGGAATGCCAAAAAGACCTATGCAAAAAAGAATTCCTTCAAATGTTACCCACATATCATGCACACAATAGTAATGATATCATGGTTGACACAAGTCTTCCTCACTAAAAAAGGCCTTGGGTCGAATATCGGTTATACCACTATTTTCCCTTCACAATAAAATTTGAACGTCAATTATAATGGAAAACCTTTGTGTCCCAATCAGGGACGAAAATTCGTGAAACATCTCAATAACTATCGACAAATCAAGTGGAAGGCCAAAAGAGTAGGTATGGCTGCGAATGATATTCAAATGTTACGGATAAACTAGAATGATCTGGTTGACCTAGTCTTTGGCATACTGTAATTTGCTTGCATGTAAGGACACCTACTTGTGCATGTCTACATAATGCTGAAGGATAAATTTATGTCCACACCAATCCCAACGCCCTATATCACAGGACCAACATTTGTTAATGGCATCTTTTATGTATTAGTATACGTGTCTATGCAGTATGTGTGTATATATTTTTTATCTTCCTACTATATTATTGCCTTCATACTATGAAAACACTGTCCAATGATTTGGCTGCATTTGTTTTGCTCCTCTTTTTCTTTCAATTGGTTGCTTATATGTCATTTGTGGTTTGTCAACATTATATGCGATACTTAGGCAAAAAAGTGATTGTCCTGTTTTATGGATTCAGGAGATTACAAGGAGGGATATTATATTGGTGTTGAAGTACCTGATGATGATTCTGACATAGAGAAGCCATTTTACGGGCCAAATGTTTGGCCCTCGACAGGTAATTTTTAGAAGCAATTCATTTCTCTTGTGAAGGAACAATTTTTTCTATGTTAAATAGTCTATAAGAATTTCATTGGTCGTGGCACATTTTAATCTCTCTCTCTCTCTCTCTCTCTCTCTCTCCCTCTCTCTCTCACGCACGCGCACGTATCCTGTCTCTGTTTCTGCTTGAGGTTTTTGTAAAATCTTTTGATTCCTTGAACTATTTGTATGTCTGCAAGATATTTTGCCTGGATGGAGGCAAACTATGGAGAAATACCATCGACAAGCACTGTAAGTTGGTCAGGCCTCTATTTTATCAGATAGAACTCTAGGTTCTATATGACAGACATACGTACTCCTCCATGCACTACCAAAAATACATAGGGAATAACTCATGTTCAAATAGGACTTTAACTATCTGGACATGGTTTGAATGTTTGAACAGTTACATTTCATTGATGTTTGTTTAATGAAGACATCAATATGTTATTGGCATCTTAAAGTATTGCATCAACTAGGAAGTGTTGTGAGAAGATCACATTATGAGGAAAACAAAAGATCATGATAATCGAGTATTCTTTAGGGGTTCTCATAGGATGCATTCTTCTGTGATGTATATTCTCTGAAGGCATTTGATTCCTTTACAAATGAATGTGTGTGTGTGTGTATGTTATACTGCTTTCAGGAACCCTTCTTTGATAATGGGATCTATTCTTTTTATTAGCTAACTGAAGTCCACTGCTAATATTCTTTGTTCTTTGTGATAACAATTGTTTACGTGTCCCAAAATTTATCTAGCTCGTCCCAGAAAATGGATCTAACTGCACTTCACTCAAAATTCTACAATGTGTTATGCTTCACTATTCTTTATGGATTCTCGTATGATGCATTTTTCTAAGATTTCTATTTTTTAGACAACTTTGAATCTTGGGAAAACAAAAGAGATTTCCATCTGAGGTTAAAGATCGAATAATGTTAGCTGCCGAGTTCATGTTATAGACGAAACCTCTTGTAGTTTTTGCCTTGTTCTGATTAGACCATGGGGTCTTTTCCTACTGTAAAACTTCTTCAGAAATTATAGAGCCGGACTTTTCAGTCATCCTTATGTGTTGTTCCTCTAGACTTCTGTTTCAAATATGATGACTTGATTTTTGGCCATATCTTAGTATCTTCTACATACATTTTCGTGTAATGAGCAGCATTGATTTGGTTTTGAATGTAAAAGGCAACTTGGACTTTGTTCTTTTGTCTAATCACATTATTTTTTCTCATCTCTCTATGTATGCATTCAGTGAGGTGGCAAAAGCAATTGCAAGACTCATAGCCCTTGCACTTGACCTTGGGGGAAACTTTTTTGATCAGCAAGAAATGCTTGGCAAGCCTATTGCCAATTTGCGCCTGCTACATTATGAAGGTTAAACTTGAAACAAAAACTACCAAACTCCATTGTGGAGCATGCAGAATTTTTTTTGTTGATTGATGTCACTTGTGAAATGTTGATTCATTGATTGGTCATTAGGTCTAATATCTGATCCCACAAAGGGATTATATGGAGCCGGTGCCCATTCTGATTTTGGTTTGATTACCCTCTTGGCCACGGATGATGTTTCTGGTCTCCAAGTAAGGATGAAGCTGAATTACACTATAACTCCATTAAGTTCATTCTAATTTTTGATAAGGGATTGTAACTTTTCAATTTGTTTCAGATATGCAAGCATAAGGATGCCAAACCTCAGATCTGGGAATATGTGGCACCATTAAAAGGGTGGGTTAGTATAGCATTGATATTGTTAATTGTGGAAAAGAAGATGAGTTATACACAATCTATCAAAGTTGTGTTTGCCCATCAATATGTAATTCATGCATCTTGCTGGTAATTTATTGTGGCCCAGTTATCCCACATTGGGCAAATACTGGGGTAAATATGAATTTGTTTTATATTGACGGGCTCACTACCTATGCAATTGAGCTTTTGGGTGGTCAAGTTGGCTCAAACACGTATGGTGGATCCCATCTTGCCAACAAGTGGAATCAAAAGCATGTTGGGCTCTTCCAGTGTGGACTCTTCATCTTCCCGACAAGTGATATCAAGGGTTGTCCATATTGAGCCAACTTCCAAAGCTTAAACTTAACTTACTGGTACTGAGTTCATCCTATATATATTAGAATATCCTCATGCCGTAGTGATCCAAGTTGGACTTTACTCCAATATTATGCATGCGGAACATATGTCACAATGACTTTATCCTTGTGGTGTCCTGAACAATAGCTTACCATCATTGCTGTTGTTGATAAATTTCCTCTTTAGTTTATTGTAATCTTATTTCCTTAGTGATTGATATTCGACTTCCAGAGCATTTATTGTAAATCTCGGTGATATGCTGGAGCGCTGGAGTAACTCTATGTTCAGGTAAGGTGCATTTTCATTAGCAGTTGTTATCCTGCTGGCATCCAGTGCCATAGGTGAGTTGGAGATGTTTGATATCAATTCTTGCCTAAATTTGAATATTACTTAACTAGTTCCCACTTTTAGTTTTAAGTTTCAAAGTTTGACTATAATGTCTAGTTGTCTACCTTTTGACTTGGACATGATTCATGGTGAAACTGGCACAAGTTATCAATCTTTTGATGAAATGTCTTATTCAACAATTGTGTATTGTTGAATTGCTAAACTACCGTCATTGCGGGTTTTGTTCTCACGGTTATTTGCATGCTCTTAGAGTTATTTTACTATATCTTACGAACTGGAGGACATACCAATTTCATGGAAGTGTGACCTTTTGTTAATTCTATCCAGGTCGACATTGCATCGAGTTTTGGGGAATGGTCAAGAGAGATATTCTGTAAGACCCTTTTAAGCTTTTAAATGTGTTTCTAACATACTATAATGATTTTTATTAGATGTTCTCTCCCTTTTAAGCTATACATGTATGACGGATTGATTACACTTTGGTCTCTGGTACTCTGTATTAATATTTAGGCCCCATTTGCAACCCCATTTCTAACTGTGCTGTTCAAACTTGAAACATGTTGGTGGTGTCACCCCTTCCAAACTATTACCTTATTAGGTCTCTCTACTCATAGCTGGGGTGTTGTAACTGGGCTACCCGGGTAGGGTAAAGCTTTCCAGACTAATCTTGTGGGAGTATTTACCCATAGTCGATTCGTTTTGAGTTAAATGTTTTGACAGTGCTGATTAGTTTATCACTTTATCCATTCTATCATCATACTATAAGTGGAAGCAGAACCGAGTTACAAGTGCTGCAATGTTTAAGTGGTTCTTCAACATGTTCTAGGTTTGAAGTGACTAGAAAGCATTCACAACAATTAAATGTGTGTGTGTTATACAAAGTGCTTCAGCTAATTTTTTGGATAGTTTATTATTTATATCTATTTGACATTACTTCTACTGTCCAAAATTTACAAGGTTATTAAAAATTATAGTTATCTCAAGGTTGTTTGAGGTTTTGCTATTGAAAATTATAGTTAGAATTCAAATTGAAAACATCTTTATAATGTTAGGCAACTTTTTTAGCTTTCAAGTGGGAGCACATAAGCTCAACATTTACGGAGAATTGAAGATTATAAATGTTCGTGTTAAGTTTACTGCTTTCCTAAAGCATATCCATTGATTCTACGTCTTTTTTCCATGCCACTTCTTGTTATGTCTTGCTTCTAGATATTTCTCATTCTAGATATCTGTATATGAACCAAAAAAGATGGTAAATGTTTTGTATATTCTCTCTGGGTGCAGATTGCATTCTTTGTGGAGCCTAATCACGATTGCCTTGTTGAATGCTTGCCAACATGCCAGTCACCGGAGAACCCTCCCAAGTAAGTACAAGGCAACAACACTACGAACACAATCTTACCACTTAGAGGTTTAACTAAACCTCTGGTTGATCCAATTAGGGATCTTAGGGCACATAAAGTGGTTCATCAAGATTATCACCTATTGTGATTGATGAGTATAGCAATTGCGCAAGAGTACTTGAGGCTCGACCAATAGCCCTTGGACCATGGGATGGCCCATAAGCCTGGCTCGCCATAAGATTGGGCCATAAGTCGTGGGTATTGGCTCGCTAGACTTAACAGGTTGGGCCAATTAAGGAACGAATAACAGACCTATTAGCTTGATGGAGTTCAAAACAAATGCTGAATTTGAAAAATAGAATCAAAAAAGATGAAATAAAACGTCGGGTTGGCTGCGACTGTATTTTTCTAGGGCGTAGCTGTCCGGGCCAGTGATCTGTGATTGACCCAACCTACGGCTCACCTGTGTGTGTTGATTGGCAGGTCAAGGTATTATGGGACCATTGCCCACATTTAAGAGTAGAGTTAAAAATTGAATCGAGTTTGAACAATTGTTTAAATTTGTTTAGAAAAAAGAACCTAAAATGTTTGACTTAAACAAAATTTAACTCGTTTATATGTAAAATAATCTAGTTACTTGAGCTCAGCAAAATGAGTCGAGCTTGAACAATTTTTTAAACTTGTTTAGAAAAATAAGCTCAACAAACTCAGTTCGAGCTCATGAAACTCGGCTCTACTTAAGAGCCCCCAAACCCCACACGCACACAAAAATGGTCCCACCCTGTAGATGCTGAGGCTGTTTTTCCTTTGCCAGGTATCCTCCAATTACAAGTGAAACGTACATGCTGGAGCGATACAAGGAGACTCATGCTGATCTGAACTCTTATAAATAAAACCAAACTTAACTGACAATGGCAGGGGACTTTTACCTGAAAACACTTGCCACTGAATCTGTACTATGGAGTTTGTTGCCTATACTACCTGGGTGTGTATGTAAGTGTACCAACACATTAAGGTTAAGCATCATGCTAGAATAAGGTCTTACATGTTTTGTGTGCCTATTGAATCTAAGGTCGCAATTAGGTTGGGTTAGTTTCCACGTTGCGATTAAATTTGCGAGTCAGGGTTAGGAAATTACCACCAGACTCTTTGTATACTAAATATGTAAGTTTATCAGGTGTTGAGGGGAATATTTACATTTTAACTTTTATTATTATTACTAGCCATTGTCAGTAGTGCCTGATAACATTTGATGTGTTATTCTTTGTTCCACCTGTTTAACATCTTACATTATTATCAGATATTCTAATCACGTTCTCTTTGGATTGATTAAAACGTAAATCTTAATCTTCGATATGTACAATCACCCATAACCAAACGCATCTATTAAACCCAAATTACATATTATTAGGTAGTTCAAATTCAAGATGTGCAGATTTATATAATGCCAAAAAATTTTAGGGTAGGGCTATTCCTACCCTTTAAATCTCTTTTTTTACCCCATTAATTCTCTTACTTCAAACTACTAAACTCACCTCATCTATACTCACCTCATTAATGACTAAGTTCATCCCATTTATCTCATTCGGTTAAATTATTAAATATATATTTCAAAGAAATCTTAACAAAAATAGTAATTAAAGCAAAATTTCAATGTTCATGAACACAAGAGTAGTTTAGATTGTTTAGATCCGACAATTAATCTAATAGTCTTACATTTTAATTTTTTAATCACGATAATTCTATCTATTTATATTACAATGTTGACATGTTAAACATAGTAAATATTTCAACTATACTTATATTTTAATTATGATAAATATTTTAAAACTACGCAAACTTTTAATCATCCATCCCTAATATATATTTATCTTGTAGGGAGAAACGAGTACCACTCTAAATTTTACAAATTTGCAGAATTGTACCCATAAAGTTTCACCTATCGTTTTCCTTTTCTTCAATTTTTAATCAATACACACACAAAACCTATCTTAACAACTTAATTTTTTTTTGGTATCATTCACACTGTTACACTAGAAGGAGAGAAGGTCATTCACAGATATTGAACCAGAAATTTATTTTGTGGGGAAGGGGGGGGGTCCAACAATGACATAGGAAAAAATTTAATTTAATGAAGTTATTCAACAGTCATTGTTAATGATAAATTTTTATTTATAAAGAACCTATTAAATTTAATTTTTATGCAATGCCATTGAAAAAAATAATTTTGAGCATAAAACTCAAAAATTAGTTCATGCCATCATAAAATTCATTTGTGACAATATTATTGTCCACTTTTTTCCTTGTTTATAATATACCCTTATGTCTATAAATAAATTATGGTCACAAATAATAGTTCCATATGATACCATAATAAAAATGAATTATCAATCAACAAACTTCTTTTTGATTTAAACCGTATGTATATACTAGTCATTGTCCGTGCCTGAAGGCACTACTTAACAAACAAAAAATCGCAAACAATTACCTGTACGTAAAGGCTTTGTATAACAGAAAAATTATCAGTGACAATAAATAAAAAACAAATAGATGATTTGACACAAAATTAAGTCCTTACAATATACTAACTATACCAAATGACCAAGTATTTTTATTTTCTACATATTATGAAATGAGTAATGCGTTACTCAATAAAAAAAATAAAAAAGAATAAAGAAGGTTAAAAGAAAGTTAGAAAGAACATCTTCATATACAAATATACAACCAGTCAAATATTATTTGGACAGCAAAATGGATTTCTTGTTTCATTGTTTTATCTTGGGACTTGAGAAATCACCAAATTAAAGAGTTTGAATCTATAGAATATTGAAACAATCAATCTAGAAAAGCGGAAGATGTGTAATTGCTTCCATAATTTTAGTCAAAGAAGTCTTATAAAGTAGTGAGATGTTGCGACATACCCCTCCAAAAGCTATCACCTCTGCTCCTAAGCTTATACGTTATCCAAATGCTATCACTACTTTTAAAACACCAGTACCACTCTGCAACAGTGCTACCACTCAAAACATACTTAAAGTTGTATATAAGAAATACCTAGAATCAGAGTTCATAGCCAAAAAAAATCAACAACTACAGATAACTCAATCGCAATACATCCAAAAAAAATCAGCATTAAAGTAAAAATCAAAGTCAAAATCAAAACTGTAGAATCTTATATTACATGTAACAAACTAAAAATAGTTTAAGTCAAACTTGTTATCGAAATTGAGAAAATTCTAATGACCAGAAGAACAAATGGGTGGTAGGCAAAAGTAGCTTAGAGTGTAGCAAAATCCAAATACAAAAGAAACAGAGTGCACCTATGCATGTGTGTGTTCTGTGTGACGCCTGCGCCTGCACAAAATTTCAGAACAGCCCTAGCTAGACAAAGAACTCGACCCCAAGTCAGCACAGCCTCACAAAACAAACTACAAAAAACATAAAGAACACAATTGTCATATCGAAGTTGAAATCAAAATTGGGTGTGTGCCCAATATGTGTTATGTTTACCCAAAAAAAATCCAGCAGGAAAGACAGGTAGGAGAGAGAGAGAGTTCAAATAATTCTTACATGAGAAAAATAGAGATTTTTGGGAGAAAAATCAGAGAGTTGCTGGACAGTAAAGGAACTGGAAAATAGGAAAAAATCAGAGTTTTGTAGGCTTAAAACATGCGGTGAAGATTGTTCTGACAATGGAACTGAAACTCCATTTTTGGTCTTAGACTCTTAGGAGGCTGTTTTTTTGTATGTTTCTTGCTAAAAAAACATAGACAAGTTTCTCTTTGTGTTTCTTGATATGATATTGAAGTTATTGATGAAATTGAGTTGTGTTTTGAATAGAATTAGTGTGATACTTGTAGCAGATTTTTAGCTAGTGTTTTGTTTCTTGCTCCCCTCCAAACAAATGCAAAACAAACAATGAAAGTACCTGAGCAACTGTTGGATGTCTCTGAACAACGAATCGCCAAAATGAAGAACAAAATCAACAATGATCTTCTGTCTGTTTGGCAATGAAATGAATAACAAAATCAATGAGAAGCCTTAGACTTTTTAATAAACAGAGCGAGAAGCCTTACCTTGGTCTTGGAGGGTCACAACCGCAAAGATCTAATTCATCTTCCTTTTGGGGCATGAGTTCATTGACGAACCATTTCAAGGGCGCTAGTAGTGGAGAGTGCGGCGAGGCAATTGTTTTTGCTTATTTAAGCCAAATATTTGTGCAATCAATGAATTAGAAATTCGAAAAGTAAGGTAAAACACCATTTGTTAGGCATATTATCAAACAACTTGCATGCAAAAAGGCCAATAGAACAATGTTGCTGGCTTTAGTTGCGCACAAAATGTAGTTGTTAGAAACAATTAAAAAAATTGTGCGCGCTAGATCTTGCACAATATAAAAACGAGAACAGATATCTCCCTTGGTGAATTCGAATGAATCAGTTGAGTGGTCAACCACGCTGCTTGGAACAGCTTGTGAGATCCGGTGGTAACCTGGGACGGTAATGGGAGACCCTCGCGGATCAAAAGAACGATCCAGTAAGGCTGAAGAAAGGTTCCTGGAACAAAGAAGAACAAGTTAGAAGGGCGCCGGAGTGTTTTTCGGAGTATCCCCTCCGACGATCAAGTCAGTTTTTGAGAGAGAGGAAGAAGAAAACACTGAGTATAATTTGTAGCAAAAGTTTCACCTCTTTTTCCTTGCCTTTAGTGAGGAGTATTTATACCTCAAATACTCATGATTGCTGTCAATGTGGTCAGTAGGCGATCATTAGATACAGGCAACGTGTGCACTAATTCCTATGAGGAATGTCTTCTCTTTTAACTGCTCGGGACCCCGAGCAATCAAGACTGTATCATCGGCCTGCCGACAGTTCAATGAGCTCCTCTCGGGGAGGATGTAATAAATGCCCAGCCTTAGAGACATTTATTGTCTTTCACTTCCAAGCCTTACCGCATTGAATGCAGTCTCATCAAGGGAATGGTGTAATTAAATGTTTATTTTCCCAAGTCGCGTGTCAGCAAGGTCATGCGGTCTTTCTGTCTCTGATGTGACACAATATGTCACGCGTCCATTCCCCATTGGCTGTGGCCCCTGCCTTCATGTGCCTTCTGACACCAATTGTGTAAGACGAGGTCATGATAGCTAACCTAGCCTAGCCTAGGCTAGTGATCAGTGCATCAATAGCCTCTGCTGGAGGAGAGAACGGCATCCTGGACGAGGGGGG